CGTTAGCAGACATGCGGCGATACGGTGAACCCACAAGCTAAAGAGGCCCTAGGCTTTGCATATCCACGTTCCCATTTCTACTGGTCTCGCCTTATGAATAATTGGGGGGACGATCTATAGCTGCAGAATCTGAAGGGACTTTTCCAGCGACATCGCAGCTTTGAGAAGGGACTCTACGGAACACACTGGGGACAATTCAACCACCATCAGGAAGTTACGGTAAGGGACTGCAGTTTGCAGTGAACATCTCCAGATTCGCCCAGCGTCCGTCTTCCCACAGAAGACTGGAATGAGGCGGACGGATGTAACCACCCCCACCGTACCGGACTCATTGATCATGATTGGGTTGCTGGAGATGATCTGCTATCAGAGTCCAAGCCAATGGTAGAGGCGCGTCAGCTGAGTTTGGGATCCAATGGACCACTCGAGGCCATCGAATGTTGCTGAATGACCTTGGTTCCCCTAGGATACCGCTTGTCAACGGTGGAGGGCATGGGCGTGTGACTAGGAACAACATGTCAAGCTGCCCAACCTGACAGACCGTCAGTCACTCCGAAAGATGCACTCCAGTCTCCAGTCTCCATGTCCCCACGCGCAAAGAATCTGAGGAGGGGCCCAAATCCGAAAGGGACGAAAGGGCAGGGTGGTAGGTGAAGGAAGAAGCAAAAAGTAGAGAAAAAATTCACTGAGAAAAAGTTTCGGCCGATTCCACTTTGTTTGCGTTAGGTAGAATTTGCAGTGCAGCCAGCTCTCTCTCTCTCTCTCAACCAAGCTTATCTCTATCTTACCGGATAATTTTTTTCTTTCCCAACTTCATCCGTCGACCCAAAGACTCCAGCTGTTCGGCGCGCGCAAAGCTTTCTTTCGGTTCGGATGAGAGAAAGATCAAAGTAATCTCAGCATTTAATCCAATAATTCACAGCACGGCCGCCATCTGCCATTTGGGTAACTTTGGGACCAAAAGTCTCTGCGCCATTGCCCCTCGATTCGGCACGCCACCATCCATCAACTCGCCCATCCTCTCTGCCCGCCAAAACAAAAAAAATCCGTAACCACCACAACACAACACTCCCGCGCGAACGACTCTGGCCCCCAGTTCAGCTCAAACCTTCTCAAATTGAACTCATCCAGCATAGGTTCAGGAATTTGCAGTCAATAGTCGCTTCTTGCGCTCTTGCCGCTCCATTACTACCGACCGGTTTTGGATCAGTTGCTTCCTTCTCGGGAACAGACAAAATTGTGTTGCGTTCCTGCTGCCCGTTCCTAGTCACAATTTTCCCCGTCTCGCGCTCACTCACACTCCCACACTCTCCATCTCTCTGAGTCTGAGTCTGCCATCGGCCTCTCTTTATTACTTTTCCAACACAAACCTGAAGCGCGAAACACCACACTTCACCCCTCCATTCCCCCTGCCACCCCTGCCGGCCAAACGCCCCCTTGGACCCCTCCAAATAAGGGATTCCAACATTGGAGATCGACGGCACAGCTGCGTATTTGAGACGCGAAACCAACACGGAGAGGTGCCCCTGACATCTCAAAGCTGAACTCTGAAGTTTGAACCTTTTGGTCTCCTTCTTCTCAGTGCTCACTCACGTCCCCGACCAAGCCGAGAGACTCAGAGAGCCCATCATCTCGCCATCTCTCTTTCCCTGTCTTCTCATTCCCATCCATCCTCCAGCTCATTCACTCACTCACTCCACAAACACACACTCACGACCCCTCGTGGCGCCTCCAAGCACCTCACATCAACTCATCTCACTCTCACACATACCTACATCCACCACCCACCTCTCGGGCTGTGTCTATCAAACCCGCTACACTAGTTTCTCGCACAGCCGCGACGGACTGCCAACGTCTCACCACTCCGCTTTTCAAAGCTCCCAGACTCTTGGACTCTCTTCCCCAAATCCTCCCAAAAAAGAGTCCCGTCTTGGTCTCCTTCTGCCCTGTCCCCTCTCTCCTGGTTACAAGGCACGTCCCGGCTTGCATTGCAGTCCACTTCTCGACGATCCCCCGAGCCCATCAGTCCGGCCAGTAAGCCAACGCCCTGCTTCTGCATTCTGCAAATCCACAAACCGACATACCTATACCACCGTCCAGAACCGCCAACCAAAAAGCAACTGACGCTCGCACTCGTCGCCTCCCATATCGACGACCCCCCATTTCACCTCCGTCAAAAACCGCGACCCAGTCAGAACCGTTCTCTGCCCAACCCTCGCGCCCAATAGAGACTCCCATCGCAAGGCCAACACATCATCATACAGCGTCGCTCCCTTCACCATGGTGTCCTTTTCGTGTGAGGTAAGCCGTCGCCGCCCTCTTTCTCCCGTTCCGTATCTCTCTCTTCCTTCCATATTCCCTTCCCCATGATCCCGTCTTCCAGGGTCCCCCTTTACTCTCTTTCCGTACATACCTCCCCCCGTCGGTATCTCCCCCCGAAGATCCCCATGTCGTCTTATTATAAACTCGGGGGCCTGACATCACATCCTCACACCACACCTACCACACCTCCCACACATGGCAAGACATCGCAGACACACCCCCCTCCAACTACAGAGACAAACCCCCCTCCACTTCCCCTTGGATGCCGTCTTTAATAGCCAGTGTCTCGTCCCGTCCCTCCCTCGCCTCCCAGACCATATCCGTACAATATCTATCATACACCCCTCTTCAAACACAACAGAATCCAATAACCTCTCGAATACTTCCTGCGCAACATAACTGACCTGTCTCCTTCTTCCTCCACCACAGAATTGTGGTGATGTTATGACCAAGAAGAAGCTCGATCCCCACAGAAACCGTTGTCGAGGCGCCACTTACACCTGCATCGACTGCATGGTCTACTTTCCTGGAACCGAATATCGCAGCCACACGGTTAGTAGCATCAGCTCCCACTGGCTGTTTGCAGTCGCTTGTATGAACCATGGCACTGACTCGGGCGGCGAATAGAGTTGTATGAGCGAGGCCCAGAAATACCAAGGTGCTCTCTACAAGGAAAAGAATAACAACAAGAAGAGCAAGACGAACAACAACCAGGCGTTCGCCCCTCAGCACGACATGGCTCAACACGCATACGTCGAGGACGTTCCTGATGCCGAATTCGAAACTTTCCCCTACGAGGCCAGCGATAATGCCAACTCCCCCGCCGACCTTCTCCCCGAAGCGCCAACACCTCCCTCGGCTGCTGAGGGTCATGTCAACGTTTTCGACTTTCTCGACCCCTCAGCGACGCCGAATGCGTCTGCCCTAGGTGCTAAGGAGCCGAACGAGGAGACACAGCTGGTGCGCTACGAGTACGAGGCTGAGGCCTATCTGGATGATGAGGGAGCAATGGTCGATGAGGACCCGGGTGCCCTCGTGCAGTACGGCACTGGGGCCATTCCCCAGGGATTTGAGACTCCGGCCTCGAAGCATGAGCGAAGAAGGAAGGACGGAAGCGAGAAGAAGGACAAGAAGCGCAAGCGTCTCCATGTCGACACTGACCAGATGATGGTCGACGCCCCTCCCACAACTTTGGCTCACTCTGGCCTGACGGGCGGTCTCAACCGCATGATGTCGCGCCCTGTCTTCCCCCCTTCGCCAGACTACTCCGGAGGCGACGTCGCAGATCCGTCACCGGCCAGCCCGCTAAAGAAGACCAAGTCTTCCAAGCACAAGAAAGAGGGCGGTATCGGCAGCAACCTCATGGGTCTCTTGAACATGAACGGCACCAAGTCCAAGACCAAGAAGCGCAAGGTCTCCTCATCCACCAAGAAGCACTCCTCATCCAGCCGCCACCGATCAGACGGCGAGAAAGCTCCCAAGTTGATCGAGTATCGGCCCGGTTCCCGCGACAGCAAGAAGGGCGAGGACGGTGATGACGAGGGCCAGATGGTTGTCTACCGCCCGCGCGCCGACCTGTTTCTATCCTTTATCAACAAGGGCCCCGAGAGCGAGCGCGGCTGCAGCATGAACAAGGCCCTCAAGCGCTTCCACCGCGAGCGCAGTTCTTCCGGAGACGGCCTCGGCAAGCTTTCGGAAGAGAAGGAGCTCTGGCGCTCGCTGCGCATGAGGCGTAACGACCGCGGCGAGATTGTACTTTTTCAGGCCTGAATCTGCTGGTCGATGTGTACACAATCATGCTGTTCTTCTCGAGGGGTTAGCCGCTCTACGGCTCGGACGGGATATCCAAGGGTAAACTCATAAAGGACAACGGAGTTATCGAGCGTCATTTTTTGTTGCCTTTTTTTTTCTTGTTTTCTTCTTCTTGTTTCATATTCCCATGCTAGGCAACTCTGGCACATGATACCTACAAGATGGATCGGAAACCATCAATGGCCCTGGAGGGGAAACGGGGCCAAGGGAGAAAGGCAAGGGGGGTTTGGCCGTGAAATATCGGATATTACTCTACTTTTTTTTTTTTGGGTTGATGCGTCGATCTCCTTTTATCTGATTCCCAATTCTTCGGGATAACCAATATCGTCGTACTCTCCGTTTAACCCTCGCCCACATTCTCTTAGCTGGTCTTCGAGCCTTTCACCGAGCCATCTGGGCGTTATGGTTGCGAATGAGGCTCCGGTTAGGCAAATTCGAAAGTTGTTCTCTTCTTCTTTTCGTCTAGTTTTCTCTCTGCCTGTGTTGAAGGAGATTTAATGATGGGGGAAAGAAGAGAGGGAGGGAGAGTCGAAGTTGGCGTGGCCTCAGTTCTATGGTATATATATATATTGATATTTTCGTTCATCTTCTTTGCCTTCGTACAAAAGTATGGTAAACGCAAAATGTTGTAACCATTTCAGTTGTTGATCAGAGATTCCCCCTTCTCGAGCCTGTGTCCATGATCAATAGAATTTCGTAGGTGTACAAATGCCACAACGCCGCTCCACTTCATCAAGTCGCTGTCGGCTGGGAAATATGCGCCAAAAAGTGTCACATAACCAAAGTGTACATCGTGATGATCATGAATACAAAGCATCACGCCGAGCGTTATCCTCGTACCACGGCCCTCACTGTCTTTCAAGTTCTCAAGCAATCCGCAGCGGTAGAATATGCTGCACCATAGCCTCCCGTCTACAAAGCGGACACTCTGGCTTCTCACGCACCCAGTCCCCGATGCACGTCCAGCAAAACACGTGCCCGCACTGCGTGGCGGACGGGTCTTTAAGTTCCTCGAGGCAGAGGGTGCATTTCCTCTGCGCGGCGCCGGAAATGTAGGCCATTGTCTTTTCGTCGCTCAAATCGAAGCGCGCGCCGGGTTCGCTGGAGGCATCTGCTGAGGCGATGACGGGCGTGTGTGTGACGGCGGAGATGTCGACTTTGCTGCTCCCTGCGCCGTTGCCGCCTGGTGTTCCTGTCTCGGTGAGGAGGAGCCCCGTGTTTGCGGCATAGGCGTTTGCGTCGAGGGAGACGTCTAACAAGGAACTACTGTTGGAGCGTGTGCGTGCCGCCGCCGCCGCGGCAGCAGCAGCGTCGGAGATTGTGGAGCGGATGTGCAGGTAGGACTGCACGGCGAGCTGGGCGACGAGGAGGACGCCGAGGACCTCGTAGCCTGCGCGGTCGGGGGAGTCGGGGACGCGGCGGGTGAAGACGTAGCGGAGGCCGAGGACGCGTTTGGCGAGCTCGTAGTAGGTTCCCGTGAAGTAGAAGATTGCGAGGGTCGCTGCGTGGATGGGCGCTGCGGAGGTCAGGGAGGGGAGGTTCGTGGCGAGGTAGGCTTTTATTGCGTCTTTTCTGGATGTTGTTTTTGAGGAGGATTTTGAAGAGGTCGACGGCTCGAGGAGGGTTCGGAGGCGGGCGCGGAGGGTGGGGAGGGCGCGTCCTGCGACGTAGGGGAGGAGGACGGAGGTCGCGATGTAGGATGCGCGGCGGGCCAAGGTCGGTAGGGCGCCGGAAGGGTCGTCGGTATCGTCGGAGCCGACGTGGAGCTGGACGAGGTCGCAGTACTCCTCGCCGAGGGTGCGGTTCCCGGGAAGGGTGGTGAGGCCAAGGTAGAGAGTGTCTGCGAGGAGCCTGTGGAGGGCGGTGGCCGAGTGGGCGGAGCGGGCGCCGAGGAGGAGGCGGTGGAGGGAGGTGAGGGTGTTTGAGAGGTGGCCCTTGTAGTATGCGTCTTTCTGGTGGGCGCGGATGATGTCTGGGGCGGAGGCGTAGGGGTAGGGCGAGGAGGGGAGAGTTGATGGCGAGGAGGAGGAGGATGGATGTGATGGTGATGGGGAGGTCATTTTGGAGAGGTGTTGTGCATTTGCGCTGCGTGCGCGCGGCTGAGGTATGTTATGAATCCAATTTTTGGGTCGCGTGGGTTTTGGAGAGGGCGGTTTCGTTTGTGGTTTTCGTGGGGTGAGGTCAGAGTCGCAAAGGCGTTTGTTCGTTGAGGGTATCGCGGGATTGGTAAAGGTAATGAGGTCGTGAGGTCTAGGTACAGCCGGGCCCGTGGTTGGGATGTTTTTTGAGCCGAGGCGATTTGGGTGCCGGGGCGGGTTTAGAGGAGAGGAGAGCTCGGCCGATTGTCAGCGGCGTCTGTCACTGGTTAGCATGTGTGGCAGCCAACGCAGCGGCGCCGGAGTGTCAGTGCTTGGGTTCCACGGCGGGGGGTACTGGCAGGGGTTCGATGTAGATACCCTGCCGCCCTGCCTACCTCTTCTTGTCTTCCATGTGAGATGTCAGAACAGCTTTAGATGACTATGATGGTGACTTTTTCTTCAGCAAGTCAATTGATTAGCTGATTTTTATTTATTTGATATTTTCCATAAAATTTGTACTAGATACGAGAATGAAGTTGTCGTGTTAGTGACAAGGTCTGGGGAGAAGTCATTCCACGGTAGATAAGCGGCGTTAGGGCGGCCGGGTTCCCGGTGCCGTGTTGCTAACATCCGATCGCGCACGAGGGGTTCAACGCTTCCCGCCCGCTCAAAGCTCTTGTTCGTCTTAAGCCAACCCAAGCTTCCACCTATCCGAGACTTCTCCGAGTAAGTCGGCTCAGAAAGGCATTGAGGTTTTTTCAACGTCAGAGACAAGACTCTGAGCATTTTAATTACTTCTTTTTCTTTTTCCCACGGACAGAAATTCGGGCTAAGAACTCATCCGACCTTTGGATGACTCATCTCATACCCCGCGGTGATTTATTCTTATACTGACTACCGCCAAGTTCGTGCAGGTGCACTGAAGGTAAGATATCATGCGTCACAAAGTCTCTTGTCAACTTCGAGGAGATAACTAACACATTGTTATGTCCAGGTAACTCGAGCTGCTCAACATGGGACATCTCATCACTGTTGCGACTTGTTCGCTAAACCAGTGGGCTTTAGACGTGAGGTTTCCGCAACTTACATAGATGGTCTTCACACGACCCCTCATCTATGTTCAGGAAGCAAATTCTGACCGGATTCACGTATAGTGGGAAGGAAATGCCGCTCGCATTATTGAGAGTATTCAAAAGGCAAAGGCAGCTGGAGCTCGCCTGCGTGTCGGTCCCGTAAGTACTGTCAAGTTTGAACTGTGGCACGGCGGCGCGAGCAAGGACAATTGCAAGTATGCGCTAGAGTCTAACAGAATCGCAGGAACTAGAGATATGCGGCTACGGATGTCTCGACCATCTCCTCGAGCAGGACCTCTACCTGCACTGCTTCGAGATGCTCCGCCGCATCCTGCTAGACGAGACCTGCCACGGCATCCTCCTCGACATCGGCATGCCCGTGCAGCACCGCAACCAGCGCTTCAACTGTCGAGTGCTCTGCCTCGATGGCAAGATCCTTATGATCAGGCCCAAGATGTGGCTCGCCAACGATGGTAACTACCGCGAGATGCGCCACTTCACGCCCTGGATGCATCCCAGACAGACGGAGGAGTACCATCTGCCCCGGATCCTGCAGGATATTCAGGGGTCTACCCACGTCATCTTTGGAGATGCTGTGGTTTCAACTCCCGATACGTGCTTTGGTGCAGAGACCTGTGTAAGTTTATCGGAGACCACGGTGACTAACTGGTTCGATGGCCATGGGAGATGAGCTGACACGCTCGCCCACAGGAAGAGCTCTTCACGCCCAATGCCCCGCACATCGCAATGAGCCTCGACGGCGTGGAGATCATCACCAACTCCAGCGGCTCGCACTTTACCCTGCAGAAGCTCGACACCCGTCTCCAGCTCATCATGGAAGCCACGCGCAAGTGCGGCGGCGTCTACCTCTACGCCAACCAACAAGGTTGCGACGGCGACAGGCTGTACTACGACGGCTCCGCCATGATCTTGGTCAACGGAGACGTCGTGGCCCAGGGATCGCAGTTCAGCCTGAACGATGTCGAGGTCGTCACGGCCACTGTCGATCTTGAGGAAGTTCGCGCCTACCGTTCCGCCATCTCGCGTGGCCTCCAGGCTGCGCGGTCTGATGCCAAGTATCAACGCATCCAGACTGCTTTCGAGCTCAGCTCCGAGGACGAAGACGCGGATATCATGGTCACCCCTTCGCCCCCTATAAAGCCCAAATACTACTCGGTCGAGGAGGAGATTGCTCTGTGTGCTGGCTGTTACCTCTGGGATGTGAGTTGGACCAAGTATCCCTTTTCTACATGCCCGGCCGACCTAACTCCCCCTATCAGTATCTCCGCAGATCAGGAACGGCAGGCTACTTGGTACCCCTGAGTGGAGGAATCGACTCTTGCGCCACAGCGAGTACGCCTCTCCCTCCCTCTGTCAGTCACCCCTGAAATCAGTCGCCACTGACATCCCTTTCACAGCAATCGTCTTCTCCATGTGTCGCATCGTAATGAAGGCTGTCGAGGAGGGCAACGCCCAGGTAATCGAGGACGTCAAGCGCCTCGCAAAGTATGACGGCGAAGGTGTGCTCCCCAAGACGCCCCAGGCCCTCTGCAACCAAATCTTCTCAACCATCTACATGGGCATGAAGACGCAGAGCTCCGTCGAGACGCGTCAGCGCGCCAGGGACCTCGCCGAGGCCATTGGCAGCTACCACATCAACCTCGATATTGACGACGTGTACAACGCCCAAAAGAGCCTCGCCGTCACGGCGCTCAACTTTGAGCCGAGGTTCAAGGTCGAGGGCGGGACGAACCAGGAGAACCTGACGCTGCAGTGTATCCAGGCGAGAATCCGCATGGTCACCGCGTACGAGTTTGGGCAGCTGCTTCCCACGGCCCGCGGACGACCTGGTGGTGGAGGTCTGCTTGTCTTGGGCAGTGCAAATGTCGGAGAGGTGCGTTTGCTTTGCTTTGATACCCATGTTCATTTCCGCTTTGATGTCTATCTAACGACTGCCACAGTCCCTCAGAGGTTACTTTACCAAGTCAGTAATTCAACTTTGACGACGAAGAATGACTCATACTGACTAGTTTCTAGATATGATTGTTCCAGTAAGCTTTCATCCCGCTACGTCCTATTCACGGGAGCTAGTACCCCACATCACTTTAAGAGGGGTCTGGTCTAGTCCGTCTACTTGTCTCGTAGACCCCCTTATCCAACTGTACCGGTGTCCCATTGCCTGCCTACGCCCTGGTATCATTGCCAGTACCAGCAGGGGGCCAAGGACTGCATGACGACTCTATAGCATCGGAAGCAGTCTACCGTCATTCCATGCCTGACTAACACTCAAAACTTAGGTGCGGATATCAACCCGATTGGTTCCATCGACAAAGCCGACCTCAAACGCTTCATCGCGTGGGCCGAAAAGGACTTCAACATCCCATGTCTCCACGACTTCCTAACGGCGGTCCCGACCGCAGAGCTTGTACGTGATATACCCGCTAGCCCCTCAAGCCTCCACCCGCTGAACGCGCAAGAGCTGCTGCGGCTCAACTCATGCGCCAGCATCCTCCCCTTGTCTTGGGGGGAAGAAACAGAGACTTTGCGGGGACAAACAGCCTGACTTACGTGATCACAATCGCATTGTAGGAACCCATCTCAGAGACCTATGTACAGAGCGACGAGGTGGACATGGGCATGACCTATCAAGAGCTGACCATCATGGGCCGTCTTCGCAAGGTGAACAAGCTGGGGCCGTTCGGCATGTTCCAACGTCTCGTCCACGACTGGAGCGTCGACCGCAAGCGCGGACCCGACGACGATGCTCCCGCGTACGAGCCTAGCCAGACGGCCGACAAGGTCAAGAAGTTTTTCCACTTTTATGCCATCAACAGTGAGTTTTGCTGTCCTGGAAGACAAAATGGGACAAACTGCCGTTTGGTGGTTCTAACTTGGGTGAACAGGACACAAGATGACGACGCTTACACCGGCTCTTCACTGCAATGACTACTGTATGGCAGCACACCTCATCCGCTTTGCTTTCTTTTCTCCCGGTTGAAGAAGTCACTGACTGGTCGATTAGCACCCGACGACAATAGATTCGACCTCCGGCCCTTCTTGTATCCTCCATTCTGGAAGAGCTGGAGTTTCAAAAAGATTGATGCGGAGCTTGCAAAGATTGAGAAGCGGAGGGCAAAGACGAAGGCATAAGTGTATTCGTAGTCTGTATCCCGTAGTCCGTAACCCCCTACCTTAAGGTATCCCGTCACTACTAGATGATGGGGGCATGGTTCCGCATGGAGACGAGGGGCCCTGTAATTCTCCCCTGTCGCTCGCACTCGACCCACAGCGTAGGGCTAGCGTTCCGGCGATCAAGGTGGAAACAGATTCCTTAATAGAGAGAAGAACTGCACTAGAAACGATATGCTGGGTCCCCAATGGGTCCATACCCGTCCATGGACTCCATGGATTCCGCGGTATCGTCGGACCCCGAATCTACAAAAATGCCCGAAGACTGTATTGCAGAGTATAATGACCACAAGGACGCGTGTAATGAGGCTCCCTATTCGTTGTCGGGCCCTCTTACGGAGTCCTTCTGTAGAGCTTGTTCGTTACGGGCCACGGCTCCCACATGCCGGCCGCTGCCTTCCCCCCTTCCCGCCCCTCCACAGCCTACCCCACATTTCCCGACTACAAGCCTCCGGCAAAGCGCCGGCTGTCCATCCGACTATTACCTCGCTTCGGATCCGAAAAGTTCATCACTCTCCAATTCCTGTGAAGTGCGGTGTGGCCAATCAGCATTTTTGTGATGGTAATTCTCTCCAGGTGGGGTGGGTGGGCTCCGGGAGGAACCCATGTCAAACATGATCGAATAATATGCTCGAGTACCCGGTATCGTTCTCACGATGCGAGGTTCCTTGCAGAAATCCAGCCCTCCTGCCAAGACCTCTAAGGGGCTGGGTGACGTTT